AGTAAATTAAACTCTGTTTAATGATAACCAACCAACCTAAACCCTACCCCTATGCCTATCCGTATATCTCAACCAGATGACACGCGTCGGCATTCCAGGAAGATCGTCCCCTCGCATCTATGTGGTCCACACCCAGTGCATCCACCGTTGTATCTTCTTGTGGCCCACCAAGATATCCTCGTGATCCTACTAGCGGATCGGGATCCTGTTAGCGGATCGGGATCCTACTAGCGGATCGGGATCTTGTTAGCGGATCGCAGCTGGAGATCGGGCATGCGATCCTGGGTTAGGATCGCGGTCTTCCAATGAGATCGAGGGTCTTGTATTGCCATGTCTCACGACGGATTGCGTAATTAATACGGGTGTGACTACCCTATAGCCTCATCCCAGGCTGGGCGATCCTGTCCACTTGGGGTTTGGGTACGCAATTGCCAGCCACCCATTCCAGCTTGTATCCACCAATCATAGCATTCTTGGTTTAATTGGAGCGTGTGACCCTTTGGATCGCCGATCCCAGTCCCAAGAAGATTTCTTTGTGACCGCTTTGCCACAGTACACAACACGCAACAGAAGGCTATATTTTACAGCCATTGCCTGCGACACGCCTCGTGTCGTCGTTTTTGCTCATAACAACTTACGTTTGCGCATCATGTATCAGTGTCACGTTTCTTAACAGTTAATCATCGTGGTAAACACGACTTACCTTAAGGTAAGTCGTGACTTTTACTGGACCCGCCAGTATCGGTTCGTACGCAAGTACATTCGTGCTTGCGAGTTTTGCCAACAGGTGAAGTCTAGTCCTCGATCTTGTGCACCCTTACATCCTCTAATCCTCTTAACAAAGTGCTAGCAGTCCGTTTCCATGGACTTCGTCTTCATTTTTCCGACGAAAACCACAAGAATAACTGTAATTTTGTGTTTTTGAGACGTTCAGCAAGACGGTACATCTTGCTGCAGCACCTGAGTCGATTATTGCACAGGGCTGTGCTCTTGTCTTTATCGACACGATATTTCGACTCCACGGGTTACCCCTTGAGCTCGTTTCCGATCATGACTTTCGGTTCACGGCAGAGTTTGATAACCCTAATCGATCGCTCAAAACGCGTTTCAAGATGTCAACATCCGACCATTCCGAACCAGATGCTTAGTTGTAACGTGCAGACCGTGTTCTCTAAGAGATACTACGAGGATATTTCCACTCATTTTATAGTTGTAGTGAGTTCTCGTCGATGGTGGAATTCGCCATCAACAACTTCGTGCATGCTTCCACGACGCATACATCATTCTACGTGAGTATCTTACGCCAACCACGTATTCCAGCCCCATTACAGAGAGAACCTGCATTAAGAAGGGGGGACCGCTCAAGAAAAAACTGTTTCGGCTCTTGCTCATCACGTACCACTGCACACGCCGATACGTTTAATGCCGATGTAGACAATGTCTACATGGACGTAGTAGATCTTAGCAGTTGCGATGCCGATGCTTATAGATTCAACATAGTCAATGACCATACCAGAGATGAAGTCGGCACCCTCGCTGAAGAAAAGGAGGACCTATTAGCAGTGCGCACGAAGCACACGGAAAACACAACGAGTCGCCAGCAGAGAACTTCCTGCTGACTCGAGAGGCGGTAGTCCGTTTCGTTCAGGACTCCATCGCAAATGATGTGGACCGCCAGGAACGGAACGCAGACAAGAATGGAAGAGCAAATGTTTTTTCATTTTAAGTTAACGACCTAGTAAGACTGTCCACGGTACCTACCTAGACATGCTAACACTAATGACGGCAGAAGAAAACTACCGCCAAAAAAGTGGGTCCCTTACGTGTATTGCACAACCAAGGCAATGCATACACAAACAATTTGCCTCGTAGGATGCTCACGTATACTACGTTCTATGTTGGTCATCTCCGCCCGTACCATCAGCACGAGGTCTCTTCCGAGAACGAAGATTATCGGCGCGCTCCATAATTCCCAGCAGATTCTTGTGACCACGAACCAAACAATCATGCTGGTACTTCAGTAACGCAGTCTCACGACGAGCCGCGACTAGCACGACGCGCGGGTGACGAAGGTTGCATTCCTTCTCTAGGTGAGCGTACGCAAAATCCGTTTGGTCTTTCTCTTGATCGGTACGGAGACTTCGCACAATCGCCAGAATGTCGTGCCGACGATTGTATTCGTTCTCCACGTCCTCCCTCAACTCGGTTAGGACACGTTCATGGTTACCTAAAGTCTCCTGCAGGCCCGGCAGCTGATCCGGGCCTTGTCTTTACACCACCACCGTAGCCGCTGGTCAATTTTCACGGTGGTCGACGCTTTCACGCGAGGTGTATCTTGAGCCACCGCGTGAAGAGCGGGGAGCGGTGAAGTTACCTTGTCCGCTGGCGGGGGTATCCACCATCTTATGACAGTTGGGAGCCTCGGCCCCATCTGATGGCTGACGTTGGGGGTATCATCCGCTAGTACGACTACACGCATCTGATTGTTCCTCGGGTTCATCGTTAAGCACGCGCCTTTGGCGCTTGTTGACAGATTGCAAGTTTGCAATAGCTTCCCTCACCTCAGCCGAGATATGTGCCCTTCCCCTCGATACACTTAGGAACGTCATTTCTCTATTAGCGCGCTGCAAGTTGTGTGCACAACTTACACAAGGGTTACCCCATGTGAGGCAAGGAATGCCTGCCTCACTCGACAAACGATGCAGCCGATACCTTGCACCGACTAGAGTTGTTTTTTGAACTTGACGCGCACTACCTCAAGTTTTGAAGCCACGCTTCACGTCCAACATTATTTACAATTTGTACGAACGCGTTCCACGCCGCCAAAAGCGAATTATTACCATGCTTTTGGTTACCGTCGTACCATTAATGCTTAAGGAAATCACCGAGATAAAAAAATTCTTTAGCGCGGAATTTATTCGCGCTGGAGCTCAAGTCATGAAGCTCACTTGCATCAAATAGTGGATTTAATGGTGTTGGTATCTCTCGCGATACAAGCTATTGCTGAGCTGTTTGGGCAAGCGCCGCGGCATAATTTTATCACGCTTTAACTCGGTGCCTTCGTGGGTACAACGGTTCTCAGAGTGACAATGGCGTGAGCCATCGTCAACGAGCTCGTGCGAAGACGCACGAGTTGACTTTGGTGATGAGTAATTTTACCCATCGCCAAACTCATCATCGCTGCCGAAGACACGGTGACGCAAGTCTTGAGTCCGCTCGTTCGGCAATTACCTTGACTAAGGAAGAAGCACCCCAGGTGATCTCGATGCCTCTGAAGCCTTTACCGAGTCAGAAACATTTGACTCGCCGGAGTAGATGACCCCACCTCGGAGTCATCGTCTGCACGAGGTTTGATACCACGTTCGCCGTGGCAACAGGGTATCGCAAGCAAAGAGAAAATAGCAGACGACGAGCCGTCTGCCACAAAGCCTAGCGCAGCAACATGCTGGGCTATCTTTGAGTCATCCCGTATAGCCATTTTAATATGCGAAGCAAGGTCAGGTATGATGGATTTGACCAAACAAGTGATCCTTGCCCCAATAGTGTCCAACGGGTGGTCATTAAAATTCTATAGTCATAAAAGTAACTATCTCTCAAGGGGGTGCTGTAGCGGGATACCTGTAACATAAAATTGCCATTGTGATAAATGGTAATAAATAATATTACGTTGAATATTCTTCTAACAATATCACTAAGTGTAGTGATATTGTTGGGATGACCGAATGGTCTACTCATTGGTTAAAATCGTGATGATATCAACCCACCAATTGCTGCTTGACGCGCGCAATGAGTGATGACTAGATGTAATCAGACTTTAATTTTATTATAATATGTAAACTAGGTCAAAACATAGAACAAAATATCCTTCACATTATTGTATTACATAACAGTTTTACGTTTACCACGATTAGAGTCTTCATCTTAGTCGTTTACCGTCCTCTGTATAGTGCGCATACATAACAGGGCACTGAAATTCACTGTTGTGAGTGAAAGCTAACTACGTACTGGCACACCAGTACGTAGTTTCAGTACCCCCATTACATCAGGCGTCTTAGATCGTTTAGAGTCTAGCAACGCCTTGTCGATGTAGGTAATCTTGAACACTCTGTGCTGTAATTCTCTGAATCGTTTGGTCCCTTAAAACAGGGACCGTAAGCTCTTTGAGCTTGTTGACTCTCTGAGTCGAGTGTATTAAACTGAAGTTGCTCGTAGAGCGGTTAAGTCTTCCTCTGACTGAAGTAGCAGTGTTGCTTCGCTACAAGTATGCACCACTTGGATCATTCGTCAGCTTTTTATCAACCTGTGATCTCGCACCGCAATGCATACACACGGACATAGCACATAATCGTTAAACAGCACAGTCGTCACTAACAGTAAGAACTGTCCCGTTGATTCCACTGCTCATGAAAGGTTTTCTGTTCCAACGGGGTCATCAGGATCACGAGTTAGTCGAGTTCGTGTGACCCCATGGCCGGGCTCGCACGCAATGTGCTCACTGCGAGTAGGCTTATCGGCGCGTGGGCGCCATTGATAAGCGAACGAACGTTGGTAAAAATGGAGCGTTCGCGACCATTGTGTGACACTTGTTTTTATAATGAAAAGACTCGTTAGCAATCAAGCAGTTTCTTATCCCATGTTGCAGTTGAGTATAATGTGGTTAACACTATTTGTATCTGCTTTTTATACTTGAGCTTGAGTAAAGTTCTGGTGTTGGGGCTTATGTATATATGTGGTACAGGTAATGAGATTTGCTCTTTCAACTCACCAGCAGAAATCACTGAACAGCATCTGCTAAGATTACATTTGCATTGACATGCATAAATATAAATGCAAATGTCACAATACAGGCTCACCTGAGTTCTGCCAATGAAATTAGTCGCTTTTAACGATGCTTCGTCATGGTCCTCTGATCGTCGTCAAAGGTGGAAATCCGTACGCACCTCTTATTCGTCAAAAATCGGCTGCTGGACACTTTCGAGCAGCTATTTTGCATGGACGTCATGGCTCGGAACGAGTTCAACATCGACGAGGCCGAAGACTTTGACGACGGCACGCGCGCCATCCCCCACGACGCTGCATCTTCCGACTTAGATGAGGAGGGTCAGGACTCGACGCTCCTGTGCTCGTCCCGCAAACAGCGACTCCAGGGCGAGCAGCACAAGAGCAACAAACAGCAGCGCGAACCGGCGTCGGCTTTGCGCGTCAAGAACTGGGACGCTGGCGCGTTGGAGAGCCGGGAATATGCAGGAAAAGTGGTGGAAAGAAGGGACTTGATGGACGGTGAAGAATCGCTGGATGAAGACTCGACGGCCGAGTGGTCGGAGGCTGAACCTTTTGGACCGTCGGAAGAAGAGAGTGAAGAGGAAGAAGAAGAGGAGGAGGAGGAGGAAGAAGAGAGTGACGGGAGTAACGATGAAGTGAAGAGTACAGAAATGCTCATTCGTGGCTTCCAGAAAGAGGACTCATTGCGACTCATGGGCACACAGGATCGCGACAAGATTGTGGAGAAAGCCACGCACGTGCGTAATCAGAAACTGATCTGGGAGCGCTGCCTCGAAGTACAGATTTACACGAAACGGCTTTTGACAACGGCAAAGGATGCGGCAGAGCAGGACGCGACCGACGGGGGGACGACAGAGGAGGAGACGATGGCGAGCAGGAAGGGACATGTGGTGGCAGAGCTCTACAAGAGTATCGACGCCATTGCGGCCTTGCAGGAGAAGCTGTGCAATGTCCCTGAGTTGCGTGCGGTCGACGTGCCGGTGAAAAAACGCAAACGCTCATGCGATGAGCTGTGGCAGGAAATTACGACCAGCAGTTGTTCAATGCTGCCTCAGTACAACGACATTCTCAGCACGTACACGCGCAAGACAGACCTGAAAGCAGGTGGTAAGCACAGCCAGGCCACCAAGTTTAAGGCTGTGAATCAAGATATCATCGCGCAGGTGGAGGCAGTGCTGGTGGATCCTCGGCGAGTGAAGCGAAAGGCACATGCTTCGTTGGACGTGACGGAGGCGGATGCCACAGACGGCAGCGAGGAGCAGCTGGATGAGCTCATGTACGATGACTCGGACTTTTACCAGCAGCTCTTGAAAGAGTTCATCGAGAGTGGTGGAGGTGGTGCTGGTCAGGTGAAGCGCACTCACCGCAAGAAGAAACGAGTGGTCAACCGTAAGGCAAGTAAGGGTCGCCAGTTGCGCTACACGGTGCACTCCAAGCTGGAGAACTTCATGTTCCCGGAGCCTTATCCGAGACCGGAAATGGACGTTACGGAGCTCTTTCGCTCGCTCTTCGGTCAGGTGCGGCAGTAGTAGATGGACAGCTGCTGTGACATTAACATACTAGAGAATAGATAGACCGAGTCTGATTCTCTGAGTTGTTTGTCTTCATGATGCACGGTCGATACGATACATGCTCTGCGTCAATGTTGACGCGCCGTGTTGTCACTGGCGAAAGATAAGGCAGCTTTTCTTCAGAGGACGTCATCCTCATCTTCTTCTTCCCGCTCGTCTCTTAAGTACATCTCCTTGATCTTGGCCACCTTCTCTTCCACCTCGCGCAAACGCAGCTCATTGACCCCACTGGCACCAATCTTCTTGACAATGCCGACCAATGTGATCGCCTTTTCAGCTACGTGCACTACCGTTAATGCCCGAATCGTCTTGGCGCGCGTTGTTCGATCCAGAGCACAAAACTCTTCGTCTGCCAAGTCCATTGCAGCATCAGCTAGTGTAGTTGTCGAGTTGATAAGCTCAATGCCGCGGTCTTCCAAACGCTCAGGAATGTCGTATTGCTGCAGCTGCCGCGTTTCCATTGCATACGAACTGCTTTGAAAGACTTTGTGCTTGAGCTTGACCGTGTCCTTCAGTATCTGCGTAAACTTGTCAATCAATTCCGGCTTGCCCTTGGCTATCGTGCGCATAACTGCAGGAGCATTGAGAATCTGCGTACGCTTTGCAATCAATTGACCTGCGTTGCGTTCCACGAACGAAAGTCCCCACAGTCGGCCATACGCTTTGCCAGCATCTAGTCGTTCTTGCTCCGAAAAGTACCAGTCTCGCGTCTCCTTGTTTTTCACGAGGAGACGCGATGACCACGTCTGAACCGAGTCGGTACCGAGCGCTAGTCCATATGCCTCCAGCTGAGGAGCAATCGTCTGGTAGAAAGCAATCGCTTCATCATCCGTCGACAGCGTTGTCGTCAACACTTCCGCCACCAAGTGATTGACATGCTCTCGATTGTCCACCAGCTTCTTGTTGCTCTCCTTCCGAGCCTTTCGCTCCAGCTGCTCGATCATCGTCATGCCGCCAGGACCTTTTGACTGCTGAGACTCGTCACCAAAGATGTCATCGATTGCGTTTTCCGCTGCAGCTAGCTCTTGAGCCATTTGATCTTCTACTGATTGCACTGGCGTGGTGTCATACGATACTGCACCATTACTACGCACACGATCACGTGCAGCGCTTGCGAATCCTGCGCCTGTTGACACTACATTGATCACAACCGCAGGGAGTTTACAAACATAGAGTGAGTACACGACCGCCCACCACCAGATACAGCAGACGCCCTCGTTTTCATCGCACCTTGATGAATGAGTTGCTGCTGCTGCATGAGAATACTGAAGAGCTGCTCCATCGAGATGGGTCCGGTAGGAGATGCAGCTTGTCCAGGCGGCTAGTCATAGCACAGTAAGTGAAACACAAATCAGCTCGACCTGAAGTTGATCATCGACTATCTCGCGATAAACGTTGCATCGTACACCCGGATCGTTGGGCGACACTTCATCCGGACGATCAAGAAGGTCTGCATTGATCTCTTCTGCCCTCATCTTGAGCTTGATCTGTTCGTCGGGCATGCCCATGCTTCGCAGCTTGAAGTACTTGACGAGTGTCGGGTCATCTCTCACGTAAAGCGGTTTGTAGGGAGCACCAGACGCAGGCGCAGGCCAATTGAAGGTGCTGGGAATCGGAAAGACTGGCGATATCTCCTCGAGCGAAACATGCATCGACGGCTGCTTCATCGCTGGAATGTCAGAACACATGCAAGATCGAACCGTCTACTCCACTAGCAAGTGCATTGCAACGTACCCCACGGTCATTCGGAGACACAGCATCGGGTCTGTCCAAGAGAACGGGATCCACGCCATCCACTTCCATCTGCAGCTTGATTTGATCAATTGGCATGTCCGTGCTCTTCAACTGGAAGTATTTCCGATAGACTGGATCGGCTGCTACCGTCATGCAAATGTGCTCGCCCTTCTTCGGCTGTCAAATAGCCCAACAAAATAGGTAAACACCATCGACACAGCCCAACAATCAGACACGCACGACTGTCTACGTACGCCAGCATCGTTAGGAGAGACCGCATCAGGCGTGTCGAGTAGGTCCGGACTCACTCCATCCCCTTTCATCTTGGCCTTCACGTGGTCGACTGGCATCTTCATATCTTTCAACTTGAAGTATTTCGCGAGCTTTGGGTCGCTCTTTACCAATAACGGCGTGTACACCGACGCCACAGTATTCGTGCCTCTTGTTGGTGGCGCACAAGCCATTGCTTTCGTCTTCGTCTCCAACTCGTTCAGCTTTTCGTGCAGTCTCTTGATCTCCTTCAAACTCGCACCCGGTCCTTGTTCTAGCGGAGCGTTCCTGCCATGCTGCTTGTCGGCCGTAAGCTGCGAGATCTGTTGCTGCAGTTTGTCCAAAGACGAATGCACCGGTTCCGAATCTGCTCGAGCCGCCAAGTCCAGCAGTACTCGAATCTGGACAGGTGTGAGGCCAGGAACAGCCATACTGCCACCTCCACGACCGACCGAGACGAGCGGATCGGCCGGCGCGTCGCTCTCTGAATTGCTCTCGTCGTCGTTTTCGTCGTAGGACTCTTCGTCCTCGTCGTCCTCGACCGCTTCTCGCTTCATCCTCATTTTTATGCAGAGGTTGCGATGAACGCGGGCGTGTCTTCGCTGGCACATCTATTGTCATCCAGCCAAAGCAACAACAACAACAATAGCGTCTCAGTTAGATCGATGCATTGACTCGACACTCTCGTGGTCTCAGCTACTGGTGACAAGTCGTCTGAACTTACTGCGTTGCAGTAGGCTGCCGTGGTGCAAACGGTACAGACCAGCGGCGCGTTGTCCGTGTCGCAGTAAGCGCACTCTTCGCCCGAACCGACGGCAAAGTTCATGCTCAAGCTGTGCGTGAGGCGGTTCATGAGCTCATCGTCGCTGTCGCTGTCTCCCATGATCAGTTTGCTACGTGAGGGCTGACTAAGTCTGTTGGATTTGACTCCAAACTTTTCATGTCGAGCTCGGCAAAAGCATCTGACGCACAGGTTGACATGAGGAGCTTCAGTCCGTTGATGGCCATTGACTAGCGGTGGAAAGCTCGTGGAATTGCCTGCTCCATGTTCTCAAGTAATCCAGTTGAGTGATGATAAGCAACACGGACGTCTTGCGAATGGGACTTGCGGGTACTGAGCATGTGAGTGACTTAGCATGAGCGCTCAAGACACGTAATAGCGGACGTTTCCGCAACTTCCACAACAAGAATGTTTGCATGAGATAGCCAGACAGACAGACAGACACAGACAGGTAGGCAGGTGATCCTTCACGCCAACGAGACGGATAGTTGTGTCCATGTCTCACTGCACCGTACAGTCTGAATGAATGACAGTTTGAGAAACGTCAGCATGAATCAGGCTGTATTAGTTTGCTTGAATAAATATCGCGTGGTGTCCGACTACGTCCATCGAACCGCTTCTAGAGAGAGAGAGAGAGAGAGAGAGAGCGTTAGCTTTGCCTGCATACAAAACGGCGACCAGCTATCCGATGACGGCGCGTGGTACACGAGGCTGCGAAAGCTTCCGCGCCATGCCCGGTGACTTGTTGCTCTCGCCAATGTTCAGCATGTAGTCCGACCGCACTTGCTTGCTCGAACCGAGACCCGAGAATTGCTGAAACAGTTCGCAGATCGTAGCGTGGCCATTGGCCTCGGCGATCATCATGGCGTCGCTGTCGTTCTTCGTGCGCTTCTCGGGGTCAGCATCGTGGCACAGCAAGTACTCGGAGATTGCCAGCGACCCCAGTTTGGCGGCGAAATGCAGGGGCGTGATGCCGCTAGCGGTCATGACGTTCACGTTTGCGCCATGCTCGACAAGTATCGATACGATCTCAATGTTCTGAGAGACGATGGCAGCGTGCAGTGGGTACGTGCCTCGTTTGCTGCAGACAGACACCTTTGCGCCAGCATCGAGCAGCAGCTTTACAATGTCGACACACCCGTTACGACACGCTGCAATCAGCGACGTCACCCCGGCATCGTTGGCCTTGTTCACGTCTGCCCCTTCCTCCATCAAGAGCGCCACAATCTCACTTCGTCCCAAGCGGGCCGCAATGAGCAAACACGAAGAGCCGTCCACCATGGCCGTGTTGGCGTCTGCGTAGCTGAACAATATGAGCTGCACAGCGTACGCGTGGCCGATGCGGCAGGCCACGTAGAGACAAATCTCCCACCGACGGGCCGTGGTAAGCTCAGGCGAGTGGAGTTCGTCAATGTCGCTGGCAAACTGAGACAAGACGTGGTCGCAGAACTCCTCCATGAACGACTGCACCGTATGGACTCGCAAGGCCTTGACTTGCAAAACGGGTAAAGGGGCACTATGTGGTTCACCCGCGACCAGTGTCGACCCATCTGCAAGTCGACATGCGACTGCGCGTGGGGCAGCAAGGCCGTGCTCGCTCTGTTCTAGAGCGCTATCTGTAAACCGTCCGCCGTCCTCCACCTCTTCCCCTTCGCAGTTGTCTTGGCCCAACATCTGCTCAGCACACTGCTGTCTCCAGCTCTGTAGCGCCAATGGACGATGAAGAACTGCCAACGTATCGGTCGCAAAGTGCTCTGCTGTGCCCAAGAAGTTCGCGTACGTTCTAAGCACGAGACAATTGTCCTCCTGCAGCTTCTTCCTCAGTGTCACACCGGTGCACGTGGTAAAGAACGTTTGCAGAGACGTGACAAAAGCCGCGAGCGCGTCGCGTCGGGCGTTAATGGCCACGTGGTCGAGTCCTGTGAGGGTCGATCGAAGCGACCGACGGGACGGAAACGGCAGCGACTGCAGCAAGAGGTACAGTGCGTCAAAGTCGCAGTGGCCCCTCGCACACTGACACTTGTGCGCTTGAAAAGGCGCTACTGCTGCTACCTGGTGGTGGTAGTGCCGCCCGAGCGGGTCGTTCAGACGCTCGCTAAGCGTTTTCCGAAGACGTCGAAATTGCGAGTACGACCGCAACGTCGTGCAGACCTTGCGAGACGATGCGGACGTCGATGCAGCAGCGTCCGAGTTGGTGAGCTCGACGGCGAAGAAGATCTTGCCGTCAACGATCTGGTACGTGTGGACGGCTACGTCGGACGCGTCAAGCCAGCAGCTCATGTTGCAGTATTACTTTCAGTCGGCGGTTGTCTCCGTGGAACGTGTCGAATTGGCAAATGGCTCGGTCGACTGACGGACGGACTGACGATTTGACTGACTGACTGACTGACTGCCGATTTGACGGACGGATTGTTGATCGACCGGCGGATTAACCGACTTGACCGAAAAAAGTCGCCGGAGCTCTCTTTTCTCAAGACAAGAAGACAATGCGACAGCCGCGCGGGCTAATTCGTGCTACCGCCCGTTAGCGAACGACCGAACGAACGAGTGAATGGCGTTTGCGGTTGGTCAGAATCGACAAAGCACGCGAGTCAGCGCGGCGTGGAAAAAAATAGTCCGAAGCAGTGAACAGCAGCAGCACCGCTGAACGCATTCGGCCCCTCACTTGGGGCCTGACAATGGAGCGCTTTGCCCAATGGGGGCACGGTCCGTCCTTCCCCATCCCGTAATCGAAACGCAGAGGAGCCAGACGCGCTCGGTCGATCGCGCTGGCCATTGTTGCTGCGACACGCAACCACCTATCGCCCTTTTGCTGCTCTCTGCAGACCAAACGACGTTAGCCACGGACACATTCTGAAACAGGCAAGTCGACTTGGCCAGTCAACCCGCCTCGACGTGCTCTCTGATAACTACCGACGAGCTTCGTACGAGTGTTACAGATAGAGCCCAGACGTAACAGACAGCGTACGCGTACTTGAAGCTCGTTGCGAAACACATGCTAACCACGCTTCGAAAACGCCTCGTACTGTGCGTGTCCTTTGTAGCTCAATGGACGGCACGTGAGGAGCGACCGATTGAAGTTGGGATCAAGTCACGCCATCAACTCATCCGATGGTGCAGTTTCACAGCGATCGGCGTTGGGGCGACCGGGCAAACAGTTACGGTCGAAGTGCAGCGCCCCGTGAGAGAGCGGTCAAGTCTGTCCACCGCAGCTCGTTGAGCTCCGGGACAGTGCTTTGTTTCGGCAACCGGAGCGGATGAAATCGCTTTTGGATTTGTTGTCAGGCGGCGCCGAGACAGCTCGCGCGATGTATAGTTGAGCCAGCGCGCCCATCGCTCGCGTTGCGTTTCTGACATGCAGAGGCGCGTGCTCGATCGAAGCAGGTTTGCGACCAGGCAAAGCTTTCGATCGGATACCTTCCCAACCTAAGTCAGTCCAGCTCAAGCCAGTCAGTCCTAGCGTGGCTCAGCCCCTCAACTCAGGCAGGCAGCTCCCTTTGGCGGAAGCTAAATCGGAGATAACGCTGTCTCGAGCGACCCGCCCGCACGACCGACGCGGGCAGACATCATGACTGGAGGTTGTCGACGCGCCAGGCGGTCGCGCACTCGGTGTCCGATGGGCGCGCAAAAGGCGAGTGTGGGGCTATTCACCAGTGCGAACAGAGTCCATATGCTATGCTTCGTTGCTTCGGCAACGTGCGTCTCAGGTGAGTCGGTCCCGCTCGCGGCCATCATCTTGGCTAGGATCCAACCGGAGGTGCAAGGTCGGGCAACTGAATCTACACATCCACGGACATTGCTGCATGCGGCTTACCACACACAAGTTTGAAGTCTCTCATCACCGGCTTTGGGCAGTTAACTTAGATATGCTTGCAGACATCTTGGACCACGTGGTGAGCCGTTCGATCGACAGGCAGAGCCTCTCTACTTTCGACTGCACGCACTTGTCCAGTCCCTGACAGTCGTATCCGGACTTCTTGCGCGCAAATGGTTTGCTGCTGTCCGGTCTCAATCCGTGCGTCTATTTTTGCAGTAAAGTTGTCGGATCCATGTCCAATTCGCCACGACGTAAATGAGAGCTCGGCACAAACGCTTGGCTGACGTGCACGCTCAAGCGAGGAGTATGCGGTCCACCATTGTCGCCGTTACCTGGCGGCGGATTCTCTTTGCTTCGGCGTCGAAAGATGGCCGATGTCAGCATCATGACTGGAATATCTCAAAGATGTCATCCTCCAGACAAAGATGCATGAGCTATGGTCTAATGCAAGCCACCGGTTTTGTTGTATTCACTCGCGCTTTGCTCTCGCTGCAGCACGACTGGACACTACTAATCGTAGGACTTGTACGGTCCGACAGTTGTACGAAGAGGTCGCTTTGCTGCCAAACATACCCGGCGGCCTCAAACTCCATGGTCAAGCTCAGTAACGTCTGTCGCAATGTCGTCATCGTGTTGAAGCCTGCAGACATCGATTTGCAGTGCACCTCCTCGATCGTGCCAACTGCTCTTTTCGATACGAACTATTTGGCTCGTCTGTGCCAACCGCTCGTCGTGCCTGACACTTCAATGTACGGGGAGTCCCCCCGGTAAGTTATGGGTACGGAGGATGACGCGTTCCATAACTGGACAGAGGTTAAATATTGTCGGGTTTCTTGTGTATCGTACATATAGAAAGTTCACTTGTTGGATCTAGCAAGCGAATCTGCTTAGACAACCAGAGAGTCCCAACTTTCTCCCTGGACAAGCCGGCTTACCAATGGACACCGTCTGCAAATGTGGATAAAACAAGGATGGTACGTGATGAGCTAAAAATAATAACTTGTGCTCCCGATTATTTCTGATATTGTATATTTCTTCTCAGAGAAACAGAAAATCCTGTAAAAACAGAAAAAACCAGTTTTTTGATCGACTATGCCCCACCGCATATCACGCATGATCTGGAGTCAATTAATGTCCAGGCACAGCTGATTCCGCCAAGCATGACGCCCAGGACCCAGCCGATATATGCCGATACCATCGCAGCGGCTGTATCGTTGCTACCATCTGCAACATGCGGTTGGTTGTGACGGGCCTCGAGAGACCTGTCACATGTATGAAGTCGACCAATCACTGACATGCGCTCGTCGGTGGCTGCCTGAAAAATGAGGCAGAGGAGGAAGATGACAACATGGGTATACTGTGGCCTCTGTCGCAGGCAAGTCCACCAATACCGAAAAGAGTGAACTCCTTCGTGATGCCTGCTCCCGGCTCGATGTATCCCAGGAAAGTCACCGAGCCGTAAATAATGGCCTCCGCAATCTCCAACTTGACATTTGCAATGCACCTACCACCCATGCTACCCTTGACATGTAATGGCCGCCCTGCCAACCCGCACCCCCGGGTGAGGATAGTTGGGTGGGCTAGACGCCCCACTAGGTCGAAAAGTCCCATTGCGCAATGAGGATTGTGGTTCCTCTGAGGAGTATGAGCCCATCGTACACGCGGAGTACCCCGGGTACTCTGCAGGAATCCGCGGACTAAATGTATCTTCTTCGACATGTGGTTTGAGTGGGGTTTCCGTTGAAAAACAAAAAGTCTGCATTTTACAAAGTTATATTGACCTTGCGAATGACAGCTTACAATTTATACTTAGCGGCCGCCGAAAGAGCTAGGCGGACGCGCCGTTTGATAACCAAGTGGGGGTTCAGACTTATCACGGCGAAGCTTAATGGAAAGTTCTATAGCAGCTCAAGTAGGAACGTTACAACTCGGTTATCCTGTGCTTCTGGAATTGGTAATAAATATGTGCCCTACGAATCACGTAGTCCAGACTTGCACCAATAACCTGCGAAATGATAAAATTCATAATTCGGTCTGCGAGGCGCTATCGCTACCAAGCAATCACCGTGCGCAGCAGCATTGTTTTTATTCAAAAAAGGAAACTTTCCGGGTATCCCATTCTCGCAGCCACTATGTGCCATCGTTTCTCCAGGCGCTTTGGATCATGTTGGCGGTGCGCAGAACAAACATCATCTGCTAGTGAACGCGACAGCTTAGCTTCGTAGATGCTGGAAAACACGCAATAGAAATGGACTGCTGCTCAAGTCTCATGCTTTGGAGGATACAGTGCCATCCCCGACACTATCCTTCTTTCCTCCTTCAGTGTGGTATCGTAGTTGGTAAAAAAGTAAATGACTTGCTCACTGTTTACCCTGTCGTTAACCATGTCCCGGATGTAAGTCGGCACAACTAAAAGCTCTTGAACGTTTGCTCCCGCGGCTTGACACGCCACGCCGTATATTGCTGCAGCTCGTGCAAAAAGGCTTCCGACGGCTGTTCTCTCGGTCTTGGCATTGTAGCAATGTCAAACTCGGATAGCTCACCAATGTAGAACTGCTGAAGGTAGCGAAACGACTGACGACTTGCGTGGTAAATCTCAAACATAATTGTCGAGTCTACGTTCATGGCTTCCTGAGCGATCAACTCCGACCCGCCTGGGTGTTCTGGGATCCACCGCGTGATGTCGAGCACCATTCCTTGCATGACGAGCCACACTTCGCCGGATCCATTTCGGTGAACAACTTCCTCCCATCGAATCGCTTCCTTACGCACACGCGTCTCGAACTCGCCAAAGCGTTTTTGACACACTTCCTGCAGACCAATGCAACCCACCGTTATCGCTGCGTTTAAAAGATCTTCCGTGAATGAGGGATCGAATTGAAACGTTGTGCCGTCATTGCGCGCTTCGTGCTCTAAATACAAAAGCACTCGATCGAACGTACAGCAATCCACGTCCACCTCGATCGTAGATAAAGCATCCTTGTGCACACCTTTCCCCGAAAGCACCGCAGACGATAGCTTGATACACGGAAACAGCAATTTCTTCTTGACCGGAAACTCCTCTTCGTCGTTCGTGATCACTGTCACAACGTCCGAGCGCATTGACGCGAGACTGGCCGAGTCCACAGATGTCGCATTCTGTAGCTCAAACGTTTTCGACTGACCTCTCTCCGACGACACACAGACGATCACGTCTTCGTCGACGCGACCACGATACGAGTCCGGCATCGTGAACTCCGTCTCATTGTTATCGACTGCATGGATTTCGAGCACCCGAACAAAATAACGGCGACCGTCTTTGTACGACATCACAAGTAGCTCGTTCTCGGTCAGCACACGTTGCCACGTATACGTGGCAAACGCTACTGCAAACTCGTTTGCATCCATCACAATCGGAACAGCATCAAGAGCCGCAGCAGACGACTCATGTGGAGCCGATGCAGTCAATCTCTCGGTCCGCATCGTCTCACTGCCACCCTCGTCCTCGTTCTCGTCATGTTCATCGTCTCTTCCTTTCTCCATGGGACGTATTTCAATTGATACAGCCCGAATTGTAGGCACGTGTTCTGTGAAGAGTGTCCACGTCTCGGTCTGGAACTTGCAGAGCTCCAGATTAATCTCTTGTGGCTGCGACAACGCGATCGATCCGACTGGGACTGCCTCGTGCACATGAACAGCCACCACAAACTGCACGTGGGCGCGCGGGTATACAAGCGCTGCTCCGTCCACTCTTTTTGCAGCGGCTTCAGTAGGGAAATCGTCCGGATGCACCAGAGCGCAGTGTCGCAACGTCGCGAGGTCATTGCGAGAGAGCGGTAAGTCCTCTAGTTCTACTACACGCAACGAGCGCTTCCAGGTGACCGTGTCTTCGTCATGAGTCAGTTGTTGCTGTTGCTGCTGGAGACGGACGGCCGCTGCGATGGCGGGCGCGCGGATGGGACCCGCTGGATTCTTGTGGGCATTCCAGGGCATGTCGACGGAGTATGGCTACCGGAATACCGGTACGATATACCGTATCAAGAGCCGTGTTTACATCGGATACGGTAACCGCACCGAAATGCGATCGTTACTTTTTTCGGAAAGGAAAGTCGATCTGGAACAGTCGCGTGCGTATGTTGCCCATCCAGACGTTGAGTCATCGACATATCAGCAACGAACACAGAGGCGATGACGGCCGTGCACGACGGCGATGTGGCGTCCATGCGGTCGCGCTGAGGTCTCACGTTTGTTCGTTCCTTGGATCTTGGTAGGACTCTTATACGAATGGCACGCAGTGCAGCACGATCCATAAGCGACAAACAGGACACCTTTTGCAATCTTTTCACCGAGCGGCGGATACCTTTTGGGAACTGAGTTGGTCCGTCACATGTGACACGCACAACGCCAGTACGGATACGCAGATACAACCATTGTCACCCGTCGGCCAACTTGAAGGGCACTCTCAGCCCATGATCAGCTTTCACAGGGCCACGAAACACGTGGTCTCACTCTCTTCTCGTCCGTCACTTTGACATTTACCCCTCAAGCAAACAAACAAACAAACAAAAGATGTACCGTCGCGTCACGTTTTCGTCCGTCGGACGTCGTCTGCAGCAGCGCAGTATCTCGAGCTCCGTCTGCCTCCAGTCGGAAAGAGCGCTGCCTCATTTCCATGCCAACGATAAGTGCAGCGAGGCGCTACGTACGCCGAAGACGGTGTCGGTCATTGGCGCCCCTATGACGTGTACGCAGCTTTGACACAATCGATTGCACAGTCGTTTTGGAGCACAAAACATTGACCTGATTTGTGTGTGTCGATGGATGTCCATGCATCTGTATGTTGTGACACTGCTGCTCTGTTCTAGTCGGCCAGCCTTTGCCCGGCACTGATGGCGGCCCCAAGCTGATTCGGGACGCAGGTCTGCTCAAGACGCTCAAGAAATTGGGCTGGGCCGTGGATGAAACTGGCAACCTCGAGTACGTCGCGCCGACGAGTGAGGATCCAGTGCTCGACTCGCAGTACGGCAAAGCGAAGAATTGCTTCGCTGGTAAGTGGTACACCCTTTTTGCAGTGGGGGGAGATAACTAACATGAACGTATCGCTGGATGTGCACTAGTTGGCAATGGGACCAAAAAGCTGTACGAAATCTACAAGAAAAAGGCAGAAGAAGGGAAGTTCTGTCTAGTACTGGGCGGCGACCACACGATTGGCGCTGGGTCGCTCGCGGGTTTGCTGTCGGTGCATTCGAATGCGGGCGTGATCTGGGTGGACGCTCATGCGGACATCAACACGCCTGCCGGCTCAGGGTCTGGCAACATGCACGGCATGCCGGTCTCGTTCCTCATGGAAGGCATGGTGGACACGTCCAAACTGCCAGGATTTGAGTGGATTGTTGATGTTCCGAAGATGAAACCTGATCAACTGGTGTATATCGGTCTGCGGGATATTGACGACTTCGAACGTGGCGTTCTTCGTGAAAAGAAAATCAGGGCGTTCACGATGCAGGACGTGGATCGCTACGGGATTGGCAAGGTCATGGAAATGGCTCTTGACCACCTTAGTAGCAAGAAGCACCGTCCGATTCACGTTAGCTACGACATTGACGCGGTGGACCCGTTGATCGCACCTTCCACGGGCACACGCGTGCGTGGTGGACTCACGTGGCGTGAAGCGAATTATGTTGCCGAGGCCGTGGCAGAGACCAACCAGATGGTCGGGCTGGACATGGTCGAGGTGAACGCGTCGCTAGCTCCGGGTGATGGTGCCCAGATCACGGTGGACATGGCACTCATGCTCATTGCATCGGCGATGGGCAACCGCATTCTGTAAAGCTTCGCGACTTGTTGCCAAGATGTCTTGTCGAGAGTTTGCACTACAGCGGGATGGAATACACGTGTTCTGTTCTGTTTGCCTCATAAGTGGAGTGTCTTTCATGCCCGCAGTGCCACTTATAAGTGTACCTCCATCACTGCTTGTTTTTGTTGTTGTTGTTGTTGTTGTCGCGGCGGTGGCTAAGAAAACCATGTTCCTCGAGTACCAGTCGTGCGCACGCGTTAATGTGCTTGAAGCGGTCGGGACCAAGCTTGATGCCGCCGTACCATCGCGTCACCACGACAGCCACGTTTTCGACCTGAAGTAGCTCTAGGAGGCTCGAAAGTTTGTTGCCGGCCCCATGCTCTCCATCCTCATCATTGTCCTTGACTACAAATCTGCCAATGATTCGGTACGCCAGCATGTTGTGAATCGCTCGTTCAATCTTGCGGTCGTCCAGCAGCAGAGCAACAAACGAGCGCACGTCTTCGACGCACTTGACGGGGCATGCGTGCGCGACGAAGGTGCTTTTGCGATCAATGATTGGTGCACCGTGCACTATCAGGGGCGCAAGTCCCGCTTCGCGCTCCACGTCGCGCACCAAGTGTGCTGTCCGAACACAAGGACGTGACATCGTTTGCGACGATGCGCCAGACAGCTTCACGACATCGAGGTCAGCTGGAGCTGTCGCCTGATCCTCATCACCATCACCAGCGCCCGTTCGTTCAGCAGTGGTATATTTCTCCCTCACGTCTTCGATCCACTCGTAGAGGCAGACTTGGCCGCGCGATCGTTCAAAGATAGCCGCCTGTTCCAATGAGCAGTTGATACCACAGCAAGTAATATCCAGCAGTTGGCAACGTACCAGATTTGCTAAGATCTCGTTTCGTTGGGCTTCCGTGAGTCCAAAAGAGTCGTACACTTCAGCGATTGGAGCGTCTGTTGACGGGTATCCTTGTGGCAAATGAACCAAGAGGACAATGGAATGCGGACCAGGCACAGAGATAGTAAATGACCTCGCCACGCCGGGTTGATCCAAGTCGCTCTTGAGCTGGATCTCGTCCTCAAAGATCGACTACAGCAGCCATAGACAAACGTCATTGCTTGGAAAAGCGTACCAGCATTCCAGTGACCGACCAATTTGGTCGGGCAAATACCTGCAGAACGTCGATTTCGTCGCTCTACGTAAGGCGAAAACAACAGCAAAGCACAAACGCTCACAGCAGAAATGAGTATGTGACGCTTGCACAAGCGGTGGATGGACCGACGGATCTATGCGTCGTACCTGGAGCATTGCATCATCGTCCATGACTGTTACAAATGGAGCGATACGATTGCTAAAATACGGTGCGCACCACCGTTGACCTGCACCATTTTTTTTCGGCGGCCAACTTTGAAAAAGAAAAATATATATTGTATTGCCGTTTTCGCAACCGAAAACGCCATTTCAACGCTATCGTCGCACTGCCCATAATAATTACGTCTTTTGTACATTTCAACACCAACTTATGTACTTATCAGTCAACAATCAATTTAAATGCCGCGCCGTACCAAATGGCTACGGCACTTGCAGGTTATGAGGGCTGTTGCTGCGCCCGCAGTGTCATCCAAATTCAACGGAATTTCACAGCCGAATAAAGCTTTTGAAAGGGACTATCACTGCGGCCGGCCATCACATCATTTTACCCTAGGTCCATTGCGAACTAATCTCCATCGACATGTCCTGGAGAGAACTAAACTGCCATGCTCGAAAAAATGGCGACAGCACGTTCAAAAGCCTCGAGGAGATACTCCCAAAATCCCTTGTATTCGTCTCTATCTCTTCCGTCCGCCACCATACTCGAAAGCGCCTACCGTACATGGACGTACATCGCATGATCCTGACTAGAAAGGCCGTTGAATACGCCGTAAAGATGTATCAGTCGCACCGTAAGGTACCAAATTCAGTTTCAATGAATGTGAACGGTTTACTTGCTGTCAAATACTGTGCTTTGCATTCGTTTTTAGGTAAACGTGGTGGGTTTTTATGGATTTCGATAATTGCCTGCGTCGATTTATAGTAAGTAGAATACATAAACAAGCAAAACGATGCCATTTAGGGTGAAGACAGCCGTTTTTGCACTTTAAGACTACAAAAATGGACCTTTTACGTTAATTATCGACTTATTGATAGGACTGCATACAAAAAGGTCGTTCAATCTACGCAGGGATTTTTTTGTGCAGCCATTTGTGGCTCGTCGCGAGCCCTTATTCACTAAATTCTCCGGACTTTAGGGTCCTATGACTTCGCGAAAAATTTGTCAAAGTAAAATCTGAGACCATAGGAATGAAGCCAGTAGCGTATTCAAGCCATCGGTGGTCTTGTATTTGTGTTATAAAAGTATGGGGTGTGGAGTAGCCGAGTGACGGGGATCGGAAGATGTTAAGTTTATAAATGGTGCACACTATAGCTACGACATACTTACTGCCTGAGGTACTTACTGCCTGTATTGCATTTTTACACCCAGGGTTTTGACAGTGTCTAGGTAATAGAGCCCGATCTGTGTAAAGGAGGGATCAGTCAGGGTCAGTTTACCAAGCTCGATTGTTTTGCAGCATTATACCGAGTACGAACAAGGACTTATGGACTCTGACATGCCATCGCGCAAAAGCGTGATCACCGCTTCACCTTCCTTCTGGTAGAGACGTCTTCTAGTCGGTTGAATACTCGCTTTTATGTCATAGAACGAACATTAGAACGAACGCTGTTGGTGTTGCAAGGTCGCACGAAGTCCACAGAAAAGAATGTACCGAATCTGCTTATGCTCATGAATGGCTCGCATTCTTTTCACCAACTATCGTCAGCTCATAGCACGACCCGATCCCACCTGCAGAACGACACCAGCAACTCTATTCTGCCCATAGCAGAGTCAGGACCGTGTGTTGAGAATCAAAGGCGTCGAGTGCTCGGGTTTCTCCACAATCAGTCGATTCTAAAATAAGAACGTGGCAGCGATGTGAAATTCATAACAATACTCCTAAATTACCGTGTGCTAATTCTAGGCATCTACATAATTAAAAACAAGCCAAAAAGTCCCGTGGCGCGCAAGCCTACGACTGATTCGCACTGCTCGATGGAGCCCAAGCGCAGCGTCGACTTCGCACTTTCTTGCACCGGTCATCGGAAACGACGCAAACAAGTCAAGACGACGGCTGCGGACGGCGGCCAATGGGACCGCTGCATGTTCCGAGTCGTGCGGAAGAACCGGTACTGCAACATCGCGCGGTAAGTGGTCTGTCCGGTGTATCGAAATGATTGCAGACGTTGCCTGACGCGCTCTGTTTAGCGTCCCCGACTCGCTGTTCTGCGGGAACCACCTGCCCGATACTGACGCAGTGGTGAGCAAGAGGTCGCGCAAGTTCAAGGCTTCGTCGCGACGTCGTGTGGCGTGTCCAGTGGATGCGTCGCATACAGTCTACGAGTACGATCTGGCCAAGCACGTGCTGATCTGCAATCGAGTCAAGGACGCTGACGTCATGCGGCAGCTGCCGTATTACAGCCACAACATCAACTCGGGTGCGCATTGCGTACGCGAAGACGAGGACGGTCGAACGTCGTTGGACGGCACACAGGGGCTGGATGCTGATGCCAGGATGAAGCAAGAAAGCGGCCACTCGGCTCCATCGGTACAGAAGCAACAGAGCATCATCGACAAGCTACTTGCTGTTGACTTTGCGGACTTGCAGAAACGCATTGAAGCAGCGTACGAGGTCTGTGTTGGAGAACTAGCACTGGAAAAGCTCCATCATGTGTGCTGCGACCGACTACTCAAAGAGAAGAAAGAAGCGGGGGCATCGCAGAGTGTGTTGCGGCACATTAAGCAGCAGGCGTCAATCATCGGCCACATGGAGCAGGTGAAGCTGCTGGAAGACCCGAATGCAGCGTTTGTGGAGCTCGGGGCTGGACGTGGAATGCTGTCGTTGGCGCTAGCTCAGATGTTTCCGGGAAGTTTGTACGTGTTGATTGATCGCGCGCATACGCGTGGCAAAGCTGATCGCTTTATTGGTGGCGACGACAAGCGTGAGGAAGCGGCAACGGAAAGGTCGACTACGTTGCGTGCGAAGATTGATATTCGCCATCTAAACTTTGCTGGTATGCCAGAAGTTCGAGACAAGCCCGTCGTATGCATGTCCAAGCACTTGTGCGGCGTAGCTACCGACTTGTCTTTGCGGGCCATTGCACAGACAATTGCCGTGCCTGATAGTACCCAAGTGCTTGCAAGTGAAAGTACACTCGCTACCATAAGCTCTAGCTTCCAGGGGTTAGCCATTGCACTGTGCTGCCATCACGTGTGCGCGTGGCAAGACTACGTGAATCCAGCGTTTTTCGAAGCCCAAGGGTTCACAGCTGAGGAGTTTGGACTGCTTGCTAGCATGACGTCCTGGATGACGTGTGGCATGGGGCTCGAAGGTGACGCAGTACAGCACATTCTTGGCATCAGGTTCCGTACTTCATGACATTGTCGTTTCCAAAAGGTGTCGTTTAGCTAATGGTGAACTTGTGCTGGTTTTTGAATGATAGCAAAGACGATCGTGCGATGCTGGGGCGGAAGTGCAAGCGCATTATAGACGCCGGACGCGCCGCATATCTTGAGCAGCTCCATATGAAGACACGTCTCGTCCACTATTGTGACACTAGCGATAGTCTCGAAAACTGTCTGCTACTTGCTTGGCGATGAGTCAGGTTACTAAACTTAGCACGGCGCGAGTTCGATGCTGTATAGACCGAGAACCATCAGCGACGCGTTCATCGGTAGGATTCAACTGGGTTAGTGTGTAAAGTGTACTCCGTGTGTGCTGCATGAGGCCTGTGCTAAGCTTGTCATTATGCAGTTACAATGACTGTATGTAACGATGCACCGGACGCTTGTATGTGTCAGTGTAGGCAAGTGTCTCGATACCTCACGGCTCACCGTACGTGCAGAGGAAGGCAAGTGTACTAATAGTACAAGCTCAGTAGAAGGGAGAAGTAGAACTGTCGCTAATCAACAGCTGACAAGTATGGAAATCGACCTCTTTGATCTTCATTAAATTGTAATAAACTACAACTTCCGAATATGTTATAAGGTGTAGGACCAGCCAAAAGTGTTGAGCTGTGGTAGCTAGAAGAAGGTGATGTGGAAATTGATATTGATGTTAGCGATGTGCTTTGTCTGCTACGTTCAACTACTCGTAGCCGATTAATTTCGATCCTACGATGTTACTCACCAATAATTTGACGACACATCGTTACACACGATTCCGATGTGTCGTCTGTACCACGTGGTGCATAAGTGCCGAGCCAATTTAAGATCACCAACAATGTGTCTACCTGCTCGTCACACATTGCGCGGGTCTAGTAGCGATTTGTATTTTCGATTGGTTAATAACAATGGTCTGTATCGATTAATAAGCGGAGTAGCCTAAATATTACCTGTAACGGGGTAGCCCGTTACTTGATATTGTCATTACGAAGAAAATGACAATTAAGAATATTACGATGAATATTCTCTCAACAATACCACAGACATGGTGATATTGTTGAGATGACCGAAGGGTCCACTCATTGGTTGAAATTCGTGATGATATCAACCCACCAATCGCTGCTAGACGCGCGCAATGGGTGGTGAGTAGACGTCATCATACATTTAGTTACACTAGTATAATTAAGTCAAGACAAACAGAGATACAAGAGTTATAGGACTTGATTATATTAATAACAGTTTTACGTTTTCTACGACTAGAGTCTTTCACCTTAGTCGTTCTACCTTCCTCTGTGTAGTTCAACACCTAGCTGGGCACTGACTATCACTACAGTCAGTGATAGTAAACTCCGTACTGGTTGACCAGTACGTAGTTGTCGGTGCCCCGTTACATTACCCCTAAAGGTAATAATCCACCAATATGCCCTCAACCAACACATATTGATGACTAGTGTCAAATCAGATAATGTCCACCATTAAAAAAAATTAATAAAGGACATGCTACATCTCGTTACATTAGGCCAAGGGTGGAACTAGTTTGGCCATAAGTTATTATAGACGCGCGTTACAAGGTTTACCAATTTGATACATCGTGCGATGTAGCTGTGGTGGTGTGGAATTTCAGTAAAATTGCAGACCGATCGTCACCTTCTCATTGCGCACAAACTTTTCGACTTACGAAAGGGGGTACTCCGATCCGTGTGCAATGAAATACCTTGTACCAATCTTGTGTACCCTTCAGATAGGCTGGCTTGAGCTCTTCAGACGGCCCTGGGAGACTTCGAATGCACTAGGGGTTAGGGATGAGGAGAGGTCAATCGTTCTATGAAAACTTCGTATAGCGATCCGAGTGTGTCGATATAGATCACAGATCGCCCGATTGGCCTTGTGATCACTTGTGCAATGCTGTAAACGCTTGACCCCACTTGATGTTGCCTTCTGGCCACTTGAAGGAAATTTGTAAATTTCTGATCGGTATGTGCCGATCGGGTCGTCGAGTTTAGGTATCCAGTCCTTCTCTTACTTGCTGCGTCTAATAGCACTACTTTGCAATGTGAGTTTTTGCGCAATCCTGACCAGCCATAGCCTGTACAGACGGAAATGACAGTATCATACGTCATGGCCAAGGATCCTGCTCGTATAGAAATCGACGCGTGTCGTTTACAGAAATTTAAATTATGAAACATGATAAATTGCAAACGCTATTGCAATGACTTTTTCTATATGTGTACCAGGATCGGATTCCACATGTCGTCTATACCGTAAGACCCTCCCTTTTTGCAAAGTATTTAGCACACCAGGTAATACTTTAGCTCGAATTGTGCGCGATCCGAATCGATCGTGCACTATTGAATTGCAATAGTGTTTCGCTTTGCAATTAATGTACACTCCACATCAAGGATGTGATCCACATCACCTTTAAACCGATCTTTATTCTGTTAAATTGTAAGTATTGATTGCGGATGGCTTAATGTATACTAAGGATTGCGCAGAGAATTACGTCGTCCCGCGAGTGCAAGCTGACGTGAATACAGATCGTGTATCGTAAAATGCGGGCTGAGTGATTTTTGACTTAGTTATATTTTGCAGGATAATATAACTTGTGAGTGCTACATACTTCGATATTGCGGTTTGCATATTACTTCGTCACCCAGATTTAATCGTTAATTGGCATGTGGTTGAGTGGTGATCACAATTTTCTTGTGATCCCGACTCTCCACTGGCGCCCGGACGACCGACTAACGGAGGGGGTACCCCAAATCCGTGTTCTGTATGTTCTTGCTCACCTTGTGTACTCGTCGGTGGGGCGGGTTGCGCTCTTCTTGGTGGACTTGAGCTGAAGCTGAACATGATCGTCTTAGGGATAGGTGTTGATTGGGTGGAAATGCTTCACCCAGTCAAACGTAGGTGCGGATCGCGTGGAAATCCTTCACTCGATCTCTTGTAACTTGGGCGCTCTCCCAGAGTCGCTTTTGCCAGGGGTGATGCTTGATACGCGAGCCTTCTGACCACTTGAGCCGTCTCTCGATCTTGAATATGAACCGTAAGGTTCACTGCGTCCTATCGCAGTTGATGGGGGGTGAGAATTGACTTTCTGCCTGGCCAAGCAATCCAAGGGCGAAGTTGGCTGAGACGTGGGTGACTCTCTAGTCAAAGGTAGGCCAGATATCCTGCCCGGGAGAAGTCGACGCGTGTCTTTCGTTGCAAATTCAATTCTGTTTAATGTCAACCGACCAAGTCCAAAACCTATAATTATGCCTATCTGTTCGCTAGGTCTGCTGTTGCGTGTCGCCTGTCTATGTCATTCACCTCTTGCATCATGTGGTCCGAAGCAGATAATTCATAGTGGATCGCCCCATACCGGATCGCAGAGTACCGGACCGCAGAACGTCGGATCGCAGGGTACCGTATCGCGGTATGTGATCCACACCAATTACGTGATCCACACCAATTAGGTATCCCTGCAAATTATATGTCCACACCAATGACGTATCCGGTGGATCGCGGGGTAGTGGATCGCGGTGTAGTGGATCGCGAGTCAGCGGGTCGTGGGGTGGCGGATCGCGGTATGCGATCCACGCCGGGTACATGATTCACTATCCCAGCTTGCGTCCATGTTCATCTACACCCCATTGTCTCTATCGATCCAGTACTCCACTTGACTTTTACCCCTTGAATGGTCAAGTTCTTGTACCTTGGTGATCCAACACTTCGATCGCAGATCGCGATCCGTCAATAGTCGATCCTTGACTATACTCCTTGACCGTTAAATGGGTCACTCTGCATAATTTCCATAGTCATTTTCTGTCACTCAGCCATGTGAAACCATCATCCGTGCTAACGGGCCCACTTCCGTACGCGCTCCGCCAATCAAATTGGTTTTCGCACATAAGGCGGATCGCGCGATCCACACTTCCGTCATTCTTCCTTCGCGCTTCTCCACAGGCACATATCGATCCAGAAAGATCGCAATACAGATATTTCTGGCTTGAATTTCTGCATACCACCACGCCCAGACATATCTTCTTACGTAAGGTGTAAGCCTTATGCTCCGATTAGTCTGATGTATAATTTTCGTAACGTCTACTCACCACCCATTGCGCGCGTCAAGCAGCGATTGATGGACTGATATATTTCGTGTATCAACCAAAGAGTAAACTGTTAGGATGCTAGAAGAAGAATACGTTGTGTTGCGATATATTATGGGAACATTCAATGTGACTCCCAATATTAGCATACCATGTAATGATAATATTATGGAAGAGGTTCGCCCTACGCTACGAAAAGAGCCAGTGGAAGGAGTGTAAAATGACACCGTAAGGTTTTGTGAGTATGTTGTCACTCAGACACACAATGTGTGTCCATACACGTCATTCGGTACTCAAAAAATATGAAACTGTTTGAATACAGGCGCGATTCAAGTCTTTTACACGTCTTCCATGGTGAAAGTTTTGTGGGCTACAAGTTCAAGAACATTACAACTTTAGGATTTGATATCAGCTTATGGAGAATACCTAAAGATAATAAATACAAAATGCAGATGGGATAGTAATTTGGTGATTTAGTAGATACAATTATATCCTTACACTTCCAGCAACACCGCCCGTCTTCCCTCTCTGGGCAAGTTCTTTTTCTCCAGACGATTATAAGAATGTAAGAACGAAAATGTGGTTGCGGGGTTACAATATGGATTCGAGAGTGACCCAAACAAATCTAAACGAGTGATATACTACCTAGTTGATTCCAGTTGACATCTCACTACACCACGATGTGGCGCAATCCGTGGTATTGCACTCTCTAGACACATATATGCACGAGTACCCACAAGTACCGTACCTACACAGGGGCTAGTCCCTGTATACGCGACCTGGCATCATTACGGGTTGCGTATCCAGCGCACAGTGCGCACAACGATTCCAGAAGTTCCGCTATCTGGATCGTGGGCATGTGGCAAAAGCGGTCAAATTTAACACGATCTAACGGATTCGTCATTGTGTCTACAACCATATGTTATGTGAGATAGTACTCAATTAGTATCGGGTTGCCACGTACAAGGTTGCGAATCCATTGATACGTGACATCAATATGCCTCGATCTCTAAGTCACTGCCTTGTCTTTGGCAGAATGCATCGCGCGAAGTGTGGAGTAGCGGGATCATCTTCGATGATGATAATCCCTCTACTCCACACTTCTGTATCTATCAATATTCCATTGAG